CTGCTGAATCTGGCTTCTACAGGCTTCATTTGATGGCCCATAGCTCTTTTCTTGGAAGAGAGTGTACACAGTTGGTTCACTATCTCCATGCTGCTTGTGATTTTTCTAGATAATTTCTGTACCTTCTAGAGTTTAATATGTATTGGCTTTTGGGTTTTTATTAAGGATTCTACTTATCCTTTCCTCTTTCCAAGTCAGCCCTTATGAGATCAAGATTTATAGCAGAAAAAGAGGCATCTCAGTCATTACTGATGTTTTGATGAAAATAAGTTGGAGTAATTAATATTTTCATTTGAATATACAGAAATCAGTCCTTCCTAGGATATCCAGAATATCATAGGATAGATTTTTTTTTTTTCTTATTCAGGTACTTTGCTTTTGTAAAACCCCTTTCTTCACTAAGGATAGCATATACAGTTCTATTCCAATCATGTTACATTGCTTAATTTATTTTTCAGAATATTTTATTCTTATTTCTAATTATTGCTCTTGTGCAATTGTGGTATAATATCATACTATCCTTTTATTATTGTGCTTGTATAACCAACTTTAGGCATTCTTCCACATAAGCACTTATGAACAGTTTTAAATCCAGCCATATTCTGATAAACATTCACACTGTTCAAGATTTCATTTTCTCCAGACTTTTTTCTAATATCAGTGTGTGGTCCTTGCACACTGCAAGAGCAATACCTAACTCTGTTGTCTAAAAGTAAACAGTCTTACTCTATTCCTTTCTGCTTTCCTTAACATAAGTCACATTTCATATTTATAAAATAATACCATGAATTATTTTCCTTCAGTATCCAGTAAGGCCCTCAGAGCTTCATGTCTTCATCTTCTAGGCATCACAGATCCAAATCTTCATGCTGCAGTAATGTCTAAAATACAACTTTGTCATGTTTTCCTTTCCTTTTGTAGTCAATTTTCCTGCCTTTCAAGTAGTGGAGGAAAGAGTTCAAGATAAAAAGAAAGCTTTTTTTTTTCTGCCTTGCTTTTAGATATGAATTAAAATTAAAACTAAGGTTTTTTTAATCTGCATTTGTGATTCCAGACTACAAGCTTTGTTTCCTTTAAGATTATTTCTTGGATTTACAGAAAGGAGAGTTGCAATCTTCCTTCTTGTTACCTAAGAATTCCTTCTTAGGTATGAAAATTTCCCTCCTTTATCACATAGTTGTCCTTTAAATCCATGTACTTACTTTGATGTTCATAGAAGACATGCAGAAGAACATTGGGTTGATTGAGAACACGACTGTATGCATAGTTGGACATCCATACAAGGAAAGATTAAATTTAAGCCCTGCAAGTACTTAAGAATTGCTTGGGAAGCCAAGGATAGAAACAGAATGGTGTGTGTGTGCTGGCCTCAACCCTAATCATTTGACTGAAAAGAAGAAAAATTTCATCTTTTTATGATAGTTTACCTTATAAAAGTTGAAATGAGAAGACTTTAAAAAATATATGGCTGGAATGCTCTAGAAAGTATTGTCTACTGCTGGCAAAAATCCTCTGCCCTGAGTCATATTTTGCATGTGTGATGCTCTCCCTCTCAAGAACAGATTTTGGAAATGCCTCATAAGAGGTACTCTTTTTCTTGGTACAGCAGTGTACCAACTCAGTGATAACATTTACTTCCTTCCCTCCCCTCAGTCTGGGCTTTGTCTAGCCAAGACTGCTTACTAAAGAAACATAGTTTAATTTCTGAAATGACTCACACAAGCTATGCATTACTCTCTTGTGCTTGGAATCTAGTGTGTGTCAAAACAAGTGAATTTTGTTATCCTGTGTGCAGTGTCCTTTGCAGTGTTTTTATTTCTATTGATAGTCTGCAAGGTGTAGAAAGACTTTCAGACAGTAATTGTTCTAGAGTAGAAATGGTGGTAGCAGAGCAGGTTTGGCCACATTGTTCATTAACACATGAGCAATATACGATCTTGTATGCTGGTGTATTCGGTATTCTTTAAGAGGAAAAAAAAAGCAGAAAAATTTTTGGAAAACAACACATTTTAGGTACCATAGATTCAATAATAGAAGAGTTGTAATTTCTGGATTGTTAATCATAATGCTAAAGAACTGTCATATTCTTGGTGGAACTGTAGTAGTAAAATGTGAGCAAAATACATAAATGGACATTGGTACAATATACAGATAGACTTTAGCAGTCTTGTGTTGACAGCATATTTTTCTGTTGATTTCAGTTAAAGTTTATGTAAGCAGTTTGTATGTTTTAGTCTTACTCATCCATCAAAATGTAATATTTCTGCTGAGAAATCTGCTATTTAACAGAACATTTATGTTGTATTAGGATCCAGCAAGATCCAGCATAGTAGTCTGCATTCATGAAATACCTAACGAAACATTTTGAAATACGAGTTGTGTGAAAGATGGCCAAATAAGTCTGCTCTTTACCTAGCTGCTCGAAATGTGTGTAAATTTTATATCTGATTAAATTTAAGTATTTTGGTTTTCCTCCCCTCCTTTAGATATTAAACACTTTCAGTAAGTGATTAGTAGTAGAAGTAATTTGCAGCGTTGGTAGCTTCATTTTTTCCCATGTTCATATGGAATTGGGGGATAACTTGCTGGTACAACTTCAAAGGGGAAGTTGATTACTTTGTACCTTCTTTGCATTAACTGTGGAGATACAGAGCTGCCTGCTTGATGGCGTGCAAGCCTGAGTTTGGAACAGAAACCTTTAATTCTTACAGATTGTAGATTTGTGATCTGGTGCCTGCTATAACTTTAACAGGCATGTGTGTGATCACATGGGCACCTGGGCCTTGATTATTTTTTTTTTAATTTAAATTAATTTATACACTGCTATACATTTATGAAAGAGTCTTTCAAACCATAATTCTGTTCCTACAGATAAAATTTGGCATTTGGACATGGAAAAAGTCTTGTAAGACTGTTCATGAAACTAAACGTGTGTGCATGCATGTCTAAGGCAGCTAGAAATTTGTGCAAGGTGCTCTTATCGTCTATCTACTTTTTCAGCGAATGATCTGAAACTGTTCATTTCAGTTTATCCAGTAGTGCAGTACTTCTAATATTTCTGAATATATTACACTGCATAAGGCTTTGTAGAAAATACTATGAGATACAAAATCAGCTCTAGCTTTTATTTTTTACCTTCTCTCTTTTCTTTTTCTGTTTTACTCCTGGGATTTGGTAGTCTGTTGCACTTGGAGCAACAGGCTATTGAGCAGTTTATGTCTTCCGTGGAAATAATTTCTTTTTAGTGTTACATTTAGAAACATTGCCAGCTTTGTTTCATTATCGTAGCTCTCTAGTTCTGCAGCCTTGGAAGGGAAAGGACAATTAAAATTCACTTCTGGAAGATGGAGTCCACACCACAATTGTACACAGATTGCAACAGCCAATGATACCACTGTTCGAGGATGGGATACACGAAGCATGAGGTAATGAGAAATTGCAGTCATGTTCTTTAGAAAAGACAGTCTTCTTTGGAGATAGATTTTTCATTGCTCCTAACATTTATTTTTTTAAAAAAAAGATTAGAAATATGGCAAAGTGGTAATTTACGAAAGGAATAGTTGGACTTGTAGAATGGATATTTTTAGATTTTAGTAAGGGGTTTTCTCTGGTTTTCCTCCTCAGCTCCAATTCTAACTTGCATATTGAGTTTTACTGAACAATGTGCTAGTCTCAAGATGATTTGTTCAATACATAGGGATTACCTGATTGAAGCTGTTTTGTAATGTAACCTGAAAATGATTTAACAGCCATCCTGACTGCTATGAACTATCTTCTTAGCATACTATTTAAAGGTGGCTTTAATCTTTTAAGGGGATTCACAGGTTAAGTTCACTCTTCACTTTACTGATTTTAACAAATAGTGTTCTATACTATATTGAAGATTGTAGCATGCTACTTATACGAAACCATTGAATCTATCAAAATCATAACCAAATAAAAGCTTTGAATATACCTAATAAGGTGTTTTTTCCCCCTGCTCAGCTGTGATTTTGATAAGCAAAGGAGCGATGTTGTGCACATCTGTTGCCATGACTACTAAAGCCTGTGCAAGCTTTTTTAAAATACACTTTATCCCCTTAGCACATAGTAATTTATCACTAAACCAGGAAGACTGATGTCTTGTAATAACTTTTGTTGCCTTAAAGGGGGATGACTCTAAACACAGTTCTGTAATTCCTGCCAACTCAGAGGTGTAGCAATAAATCCCTGTGTTTGCCAGCCTTGTGTGCTTTTCCCAAAAAGGTGTCTTTAATTAAGGAAAGGAAAGCTAAAAATACAAATACCATAATTAAAAGGCACTTCTTGTGTGCTTGTCATCAGGTCTGAAAGCCCTGATCTTTGCTTTGTAAAATGATATATAAAAATGTAGCTTTATGTGCATACTTTGATTTATAAAGACTCTTTTAAATGGAGGGCACAAGAGTGGAAGGAGAGGTCAAAGGAGAAGGGCTTTTATTAAATGTTCTCTTTTGGAGATGTTTCTGTACTCATCCTATTTTTAACATGTAGCATGAAGACCTTGAAATTAAAGCCTGTGTTTTAAAGAGAACATGTTAAATATTGTGAGGTCTGCTTCATGCTGTCTCATTAGAAAAAGCATCTCTATCTTGCATTAAATGACTTATCTGAGTAACTTATGTGAAAGGTGGATAGTCCAGGTATTAACAGGATCCTCAATGAAAAGGTGTAGCTTGGTTAACAGAAACAAACCCCACAATTCTAACTACTGGAAGCTCAGGTTAGATAGTCCTTAAAACAGTTTGTGAGTACTAGACTATGCCAAAGAACCGTTTGTAATGTACTTGAAAAGTATGCGCATGAATAAATCTCATCTGCAACTACACTGTAATATGTCTAGAATTATGTGAATATTTGATAATGACTAGTTAGGCTAGAATTAGGAGTTTAAAGTCAGGGCAGTATAAACTGTGGCAGTGTAAGATGCAAAAAATGAGGGGGGCAAGCCAAGGGCAGAAAACTGCTATACCAGCAAAGGGAGGAGAGATACTATAGAAGTAGCTAGAATAGCTCCTTCTGCAGAGTGTGGTTGTGATAGCTGTGGGATGGAGGGATTACATTATTTTGGACATAGCAAACACAGAAGGGGAGAGAGGAAAAAGAGACTGACAGGAAGACTCCTAGACAAAGAAGCAGTCTTAATCAGAGAAGAGCTTGTGAAGCAGAGGAGGCAGACACTAGGATGGATGAATGGATTTAGAGAATTTTATCATGAAAATTCAGAGTCCAAGAATAAATTCTAAAAAATATGGAAGAATAATATGAGAACGTGGAACCAATAGCTGGAGAAAATGTTGATGTAGTCTGGCATTTATCTTAGGGTTTAAGTGGGAAATTTACTGTATATATTGTTGCTGTAGGTAGGATGATAAAGTGAAGAAAAGAATATTGATATTTGGGAAAGAAAGGCATGAAGTTGTCAGCATAATAGTTAAGTTGGGATAAAGGCTTTCATGGTGAGCAGTGCTGAATATATGGTGAACAGTGGTATTTCTTTTTAAGCCCTTACACACATCTCTGAGCAATCTAAGAAGTGCAAGAAAAATGTGAAAGGTGCAATAAAGGAGGAAAGAAATGCTTTGCTGCTGTAAGCATGCTTGAGCCTTAAAATATTTCCGTAGAGATACTCTAAGAAATTTAAGAGGAAGTTTGAATATGACTTCTAGAATGTAGGTTAGAAAGGTATACCTGAGTGATATCCTTAACCTGAGTTGATATCCTTAACCTCTCAAACTCCGAGAAGAGTATTGGCTCTGTCTAAGTAATTTCACTTGTGTCTGCTATAGATGTCAGGGTAGGGCTTAGTATAGGCCTGGTATACTTTTAATCTCTCCTTATGGAGCTATTTTGCTTTGAATTAGTGGTTAGGTGTTAACAGCAAGATACTATCTCATCTTGATAGAAGATGATAAGAATATGAAGTTTTCACAAGAAATGTGAAGTTTTGGTTAATATGTTTTTGGAAGAGAAATATATTTCATGTAAAAAAAAAAAAGCAATAGCTCACAAAGTTTTGACAAGTTCTAGTGAAGATTGTAGGAGACTGTCAAGTCTAAGCAGAGCTTTAGATGGTAGATGGTGGCTTTGAGAAAACCGGTCAGTCTCACCTCTGTGTCAGGCAAGATCATGCAACAGATTGTTCTTGAAATTGTGCTAATGCCACGAGATACAAAGAGGTGATTGGTAACAGCCAACACGGATTTACAAGGGGCATATCATGCCTGACAAATTTGCTAACGTTTTATGATGTGGCTACAACATTGGTGAATAGGAGCAAAGCAGCTGACATTGTCTACCTGGACTTACAGAAAATGTTTGACATCCTTGTCTCGAAATTGGAGAGACATGGATTTGATGGGTGGACCACTCAGTGGATAAAGAACTGGGTGGATGGTCGCATGCCGAGGGTTGTGGTCAGCGGCTCATTGTCCACGTGGAGGCCAGTGATGAGTGGTGACCCTCAGGGGTCGGTGCTGGGGCCGATACTATTCCACATCTTTGTTGGCAACATGGACAGTGGATTGAGTGCACCCTCAGCAAGTTCACTGATGACACCAAGCTATGTGGGACAGTAACATGCTGGAGGGAAGGGATGTGCCATCCAGAGGGACCTTGACAGGCTGAAGAGGTGGGCCAATGCAAACCTCATGAAGTTTAACAAAATGAGGTGCAAGTTCCTACACCTGGATCATGGCAATCCCAGACAGACCTACAGGCTGGGCAGAGAAATCATTGAGAGCAGCCCTGCAGAGAAGGACTTAGGGGTGATGGTTGATGTTTTAATCAACCAACATGAACCAGCAAGTGTGTGCTCGCACCCCAAAAACCCAACCAAATCCTGGGCTGCATCTGAAGGAGTGTGACCAGCAGGTCAAAGGAGGTGATTCTTCCCCTTTGTTATGCTCTTGTGAGACCCCACCTGGAGTACTGTGTGCAATTCTGGTGTCTCCAACATAAGAAAGACGTGGAACTCTTGGAGCAAGTCCAGAGTAGGGCTCTGAACCTGATAAGAGGATGGGAGCACCTTCCCTACATAGACAGGCTGAGACTGTTGGAGCTGTTCAGCCTGGAGAAGAAAAGGTTGGGTGGAGATCTCATGACAGCAACCTTCCAGTATTTGAAAGGGGACTACAGGGAAGCTGGAGGGGGAATCTTTGTTAGGAACTGTAGTGATGGGGCAAGGAGTAATGGGTATAAATTGAAAGACGGGAAATTTAGATTAGATATTAGGAAGATTTACTGTGAGGGTGGTGAAACACTGGAACAGGTTGCCCAGGGAGGTTGTGAATGCCCTAGCTCCAACAATGTTCAAGGCCAGGTTGGATGAGGCCTTTAGCAGCCTGGTCTAGTGCAAGGTTTCCCTGCCTACAGCAGGAGGGTTGGGACTGGATGATCTATAAGGTCAATTCCAACCCCTAAACATACTATAATACTGTGAACTGATAATGCAATAGTGGAAACACAGAAAACTGACACAAACCCCATTTTTAAGAGGCAAGGTAGGGAAACAAACTGATGGAACATGATGTTTGGAATAGAGATGCTGAGTTGTTAACACTAATATAAATGTTTTCTGAAGTGGTCCAGATGGATAAGTATGCACATGGCTGAGTAGTTTAAGGGGCACAAGTCAATTAGTGGTAAGTGCAGGAGCTCAAGAAGATAGAGCAGTAATAAAAAGCAGTTCTTACCTGTTGCATCCCTTGCATCTCAGCTTTTCATATGGGAAGAAGTAGATGTCACAAATAGAGAATTAGTATAACAGCTTAGGGGTGGAGAAACTCTTATCTGAAAGTACTGTGGTTTAGTAGCAGATATTTTATGACAGTTGTTACAGAGCTGTGCTAGAATCATCTGGAACTACTGTTTCCTTTTAACTCCAGACGATCCTAATGCAAACATGGAAGGAGCAGAGCTTCAAAGCAAGCTGAGAAATCTGTACAAGTCACTGTTGTTAACAGCTGGGATTTCCCTAAACTGTGCACTAGCAGTGGGAACTCTAGGTCTGCAACTGTTAAGGGGATTATGCAAGTTTCCAAGGAAACAAGATTCCTGTCAGTGGAGTGTAGTTAGCTTTTTATAGACCATTTAATTTTTTTAATGTGTTTTACAGACAGATATATTGCATAGAAAATGCACATGGACAGCTGGTACGAGACCTGGACTTTAATCCCAATAAACAGTACTACCTGGCTAGCTGTGGAGATGACTGCAAGGTGAAATTCTGGGACACAAGAAATGTCACTGAACCAGTGAAGACACTAGAGGAGCATTCCCACTGGTAGAACAAATTATCTGCATGCTGTTTTGCGGGTGGATGGCTTGTGTAATTTATTCAGCTAATCATTTTACTGTTTAGGAACAATGCAAACTATGTTTGTGCTATTGTGAATAATCACTTTTTGCACAGAGGAAAGGTTTCAACATGTGGCTGTTCCTTGTGTAATTGTAAATCAAGAGTTTAGACAATCTTTGTCTAATTGGCAAGAAACTCTTGTTCACAATGTCGGGGGATGGGGTGCACTGTTGAGAAGCACAGCACAGAACCTGGCTGGTAGGGGCCAGTTGGGACACAGGTGTGTGTGCCCCAACAGCTCTATCTGCCGCACCTGATGTGCAGTAAAGCAGCTGCTGTCCATCGTTCTCTTCTCAAATGGTTGAAATGTTCAGTAATTCAGCCCCACTTTTTTTTCATGCTCTTCACAGTCCTGAAGTCACAATATGCAAGTGAGTCATTTTATTCTCTGAGGTAACATTTAGATCCTGTGTCTACTGCTCTGGCCTGTGGCTGGAGTAAGGAGAGAATCTTGACTGATGTTCACAGTCTTCAGTGGTTAAGAAAAGATGAACAGTTCATATTTTATAAAATTTGGGTTGGAATAACTCTTGAAAAATAAATCCTCACCCTGAAGCTACTTTGAGGGGAATGAAGATGTGAATTAACAGAAGCATCATTTATACAACTTTTTTGCCAGAATATTCAAAGAAAAAGAATAAAATAAGAACCATAAGATGATTGGTATTAACTTGATGTGTAAAATGTAAAAATTGAAGAGAAATATAATCCTACTTTTGTTTTAGGATCTGTTTTAAACTTCACTATAAGAATGTGAGATTTTTGTTTTAACAGGTTATTTCTAATCCATATTTTGCTTTGGGGAAATGTTTATTTTTAGAACTTAAATATTAATCTGACTTGTCAGTGAATTGGCATGTACTGTCAAGGAATGATACCAGTGAACGGTGTGGTTTGTTCTTTTGATTTTTTTTAAACTTATTTGTTGAATTTTAAAGACACCTCATAGACAACACATGAGATGGAAGCTTAAAACCCAAACAAAGATGACAAAAAACAGGCTTTGGAATGAGGCATGCCAGTTCTATGCATACTTAGAACATTTAAAGGATCAATTTTTAGTGTTGCTCTTAAAAATTATTTAACACTGATGCACTGCCTGCCAAGAATACCTTCTTGTTCTTTCTGCTTTCAATTTTTTAGGGTCTGGAATGTCAGATACAACCATTCTCATGATCAACTGATCCTTACAGGAAGCAGTGATAGCAGAGTTATCCTGTCTAATATGGTATCCATTTCTTCTGAACCATTTGGGCATATGGTAGATGATGATGAACTCAGTGACCAAGAGGACCAGCATCAAGAGGAGAAGTATGAAGTTTCCTGAGTTTTACACAGATGTTTATAATTTATCTTTTAATTTTAATGGTTTACATGCTAATATTTTTTTACTGACTAGGTTTTTTGTATACAGGCCTTTCAGGTAAGTAGTTCTAATTCCCACTTCATTCTTCTTTACTCAGATTCTTGGGTGGAATGCACTCTTTAAATCTGATTGGCATGGTCACTCTATGTTCACTGGTAGAAAGGGGATGGTGATGCTGAGGACCAGTCCTAAAGTCCACTGGATCTGTGAAAAGATTCATTTTAAGGGACCACTGGATCAAGTCAAGCACGTAGAATAATCTTGGTTAAGTGAGAATTGAAAATATGCTTTTGTGTTTTCTAATTTGCTTGTAACGTTGCTGACTGCTCTTGAACCAAATAACTCATCAGACCTACTTCAGGAAAAACTGAAGTTTGGTTTTGATGCTCCTAGTAGAGACTAATGTGTGCTATTGGCAAGCATTTCTAAACCCCATCTCCTTGGGTGTGTGAGGAATCACATATGTGCATGTGGATTTTGGAGGGATGGGGTTTTAGTAAAGAGTTAACTGAGATGCTGAAATAATATACTGCACAACAATAAAGCTGAAAGCAGACAAAAATTGAGTATAAAAAATGTGATGCTTGTTTTCCTTTTTGTACTATATGAATATATCATAGAATCAACCGGGTTGGAAAAGACCTCCAAGATCATCAAGTCCAACCCTACTGTGGTTACTAGACCATGGTACTAAGTGCCACATCCAGTCTCGTCTTGAAGTTCTGTAGATAGAGTGTGGGCTAAGACTTTCTAATTTTGCAAGTAGCTTATATGGTTATCTTCAGCAAACTCTTCAAAGTGAAGTTAACACTGAAACTCCTGAAATATTTTGAGATCAACAGGCTCTAGCCTATATTTTCCTGTTCTTTGCAACTGTGAATATCCATGTTTTGCATGTCTGCACTGAGCAGTTGTTTTTTTATTTCTGTTAACTTACTTTAATATGCAAAGCTGCCTGCAATGAAAAGGGCAGATCACCACCTGAACTGTCATGTAAAACAAAGAATAGTCAGATGTGCTGAGGAATAAGGAAATTAAAAAAAAGATTTCCCAGTTGCTCAGCTGTGTTTGCGAGATGTTTCAGCTAAAATTATAAGAGAAGTTTAGGTTACTAGTCTAGTTGCATTTTTAAGATTGTTCTTGCACCTTTATTTTATTAATGAAGTTGTTGTTTTGCCCTGGATAGTTTTGACATTTTGGCTTCATTTAAAGGACTTGGAAACTAATTTTTTTAAAATACTAAATAAGGAAAGCTATCCCAATTGTGGAAATTGTTAATTTTAAGTGTACAAGATGTCTCTAGAAGCAATAGGTGATGTAAATGCCTGACAATCAATGACCATCAAATTAAGTACCTAGAAAGTTGCTCACATCAACAGTACCTTCTAGAATGCAACTGAACTACAGTGTTTGAACTATAGCATCATAGAATGATTTGTGTTGGAAGGGCCTTAAAGATCATTAGTTCCAACCCCTCTGCCATGGGCAGCGACAACTTCCACCTCTTGGTTCCTTACCTTTGGCTGGAGGTTGCAATCTGTTCTGTTCTGGATGGAAGATAAGTGGTGTTGGTGGAAGTGAGAAAGAGACTACATTTTAAAATATATATATATATAGTGAGAATCTATTAAAAATAACATTGCAGGTAAATAATGTTCTGACAGATGCTGTGTAGTGGGTTATCTGGAATTCTGAATTTCTGCTGATTGTAGACTCTGTAGGTTGCCTCATTAAAACACAAGTAGCTGTTCTAGAGTAGGAATTTCTGAAACCAAGGTCACGCAAAGCAATACAACAAATATAACGTATCTTTTCCTTTGGCTGTGGGATGGATGTATACCACATCATAAATGACTTCTGTAGTAATGATGTAGAGCCCTTGCCTGTTCCCAGAGGTTACAAGAGCATCAATACTGCTTTTTAAATATATGCTTTTCATCTCCTAATCTGTTCTCCATAAAACTTGGGAAAGCACATTAGCTTTTGTAACCTTTGCGAGGTACTTTGAGTGTCTTGTTTTAGGTTCCCCCTTCTGCCCCCTTGTTATGAGTTGAGTTGGAAGGATATTTGCAAGGTGCTCACCAGCCTTGAACTGTTGCCAAATGAATGTCTCTTTAGTTCTGACTGTACTAATGAAGCAGGGCATAACAGCTATTGGGAACCACTGTTAATCAACCACTAGTGCCAAATATTTAGGTTCTGATACCCTCCTGGTGTCTGTTGCACCATTCCATGGGTGCTCTCATGTAAAACACAAGTTTCCATTGTGTGTTTGGTGGGGGAGGGGTGTGTTTGATTTTTTTTTTCTTTGTTATGTTCTAGATTTTGAAGAAAGTGTTATATTCTCATGAGGTTTGTATTTATCCTGTTTTGTAGGACATCTGATTTGCTATTAAACAGTACACAAATGTCAAAAAAGATAATGTCTTTTTCAGGAATATCTTGAAATATATCAGCAAGAGCATGTGTCTGTAAAACTAGTGTGTTTAGCCAGTCATCTTCAGACTGAGTGACCAAATCTCTCTCAAAAGAAGACTGAAAAAGAAGGAAAAAGGCTTTTTGCTCAGAGGCTACCTATTTTTTATGTCCTGAATAAAATAACTTGTAAAAAATACTCCTGGATTGAATATAAAAATGAAGTGTATGTACCAGTTGTGTCTTCAAAGTTTGGGTGGGTTTTTTACCTACTTGGCAAAAATCTCCATATTTTAAAAACATTGACTTGTAATACTCTTATACATAGTTAAGACTCGTGCCTGAGGTCTTTAAGACTTGTGTTAATAATTTTTAATGCATTTTAGAGTAAACTTTCTAATTTTTATTGTATTTCTTGGCTGGAGACAAAAGGAAGTAGTATGTCAGTTTAACCCTTCCTTGTTCAACCATGTAGAACTATGCATAATTCTGCCTACTCATTTATTCTTGCCAGATTTGCGGCAGTAACTGCTTACGTTTTTAAGGATCACAACTGAAAAATTAATTACTTGGAGATCGCTTTTTATAAAAAAGAAAAGAATGCAAGTTCACTGCGTAATGAATAGACAAACTAAAAGTTGCTGTACTCCATTCTTACTAAGGATTTATTCTTAGTGGTTTCTCCTTTCAGTGTTTGTCCGTGTGTGTGTTGACATCTTGGGGCTTTATATGCTCCCTTCTTGGAGACCAGAACACGCTTCCATAAGCAAGATAAGTAGGACTATTGCATGAGGATCTGTCTCTTGCTGCAAACGAGTGACCTTCAGTTCATCTTAACTGCTGATTCAGATCAGAACAACTAGTTTGCTGTCTTTTCTCTACTTTTCAGCTGCTGCTGCAGTTGTTTCTCTCATCAATCATAAAACTGTAAGACCAGACAGCCTCCCTGTATCATATCAGAGGTCTCCCTAGCCTGTATCATCTGTCTCATATTAGTCAAGAGGAAAGATTATAAAAACAGGAAAAGGATATGATACTTCCCCTGGAAATGCTTCTAGCCTCTGACTGTTTGCAGTTCAGGGACATTTACTGTCTTATGAATCATCTTTGGAGACTCCTGATTCTTCCATGTAGGATTTTCTTTTGCCATCAGCCGTATTCTTGAGTTTGTTCTTACTAAGTGTGTTTTTGTTTGTTCCAAAACATGCTAGCCATGCACCCACTGCTTTTGTGTAATGAGTCTAGGAGAAATATGCCACTTGTTTTCTTGCACTGAATAAGGAAAGGCTTCAAAGCCTCTGTTAGTCTAAAAAGAGGATTGAGCTGTCCACAGAGAAGAGGTATAGGCAGGTGGCCAGAGGACAGCTGCATTGTATTCTGGTCAAGTCTCTAGTCTGGATTATTTAATGCACAGTTCAAATATGGGGAAAAAAGTCAGCTGAAAAATGGGTAATGAAATGCTGTAGTATCTTAATTTCTAGCGCCTTGATGCAGAGGTAGAAAAAAGTGTGCAAAATAAACAAATATAGAACAAATGAGGTGAGTACTTGGGGTGCGTTTGTTTCATCCCCGAAACAAAGCTAATGTGCCTGGCTAAGAACTTAGGAAGTACTTTTTAATGCCTAAGTTTAAACAAAATACTTAAAGCATTGGATCATTCCACATCTGTGGATGCAATTGATTAAGTCAGGCTTCTCCATGAGCTTTGGCTTTAATGGCTTTGCACTCTGTTGTTTCAAGAACTTCCTCCTTGCAACTCTGAACTTGTCTGAAATCTGGACCTCCTGCAGGTGTCTGTCAGTTCTCTGTAAAACACTTGCAGAGCACTGGGAACTGTCTTGCATCAAAGGGGGTTGGTGGCTGTCTTGTGTCCTTTCTTCAGGGTTTGTTCATCCAAAGTCTTTATGTTGGTGAGTGAGCCTGTGTTGTTACATTAAACTATTCTGATAGTAATTTTAATTCTACATTGTTCTTTCTAACAATAAGCAAAAGCTACTAGGTTCTTGCAGTTTAGCATAGCCATCTTTACTCACCAATCAGGATTCCTTTCTTTCAGTTATTGCAACATATTTATTTGCCTTATAGGTTTGAATTTTGAACTATATAGGTCTCTGTTTGGTGTGCTGGTCATATGCAGTATGAGAGGACTGTTTGTACATGCTGCATCTACAGCAGTGTTTTCATTCTTCATTACTTCTGTGGCCAGAACTTTGTGACATGGCTCAACTGATAACGGAGGGCTTTCTTTTTAAGAGGAAAAACTATTATGTATCCATAACTATGAAAAGATCTATATGGTCAGTAACATTTTGAGCTTATACATCAGTCCTGGAAAGGAAGCTATCCTAAAACTTTAATTTTGCTGTATGAGCTACCAGTTCCCTTAGCTTTCTTTGGGGTTTACAGGCTTAAGAAGTCTCCTGTTTTCACAGGCAGAACTGATTACTAAGGTCAGTGTGCTGCCTTCTCCCTAATGATACATTTTTTGACAATACGTCCTAAGATTATCCTTATCTTTGTTACTTTTGAA